TTGGGTGTAGGTTAGATAGCGTTAGACGTAACGCTATCATTATCTTGAACTGAGATTATTGCTCAGTTAGTCGAAAAGTCATCGACCTGAAATGTTAACTGATTTTCCTCTCTCCAATAGATGCTGCCTGACCTGCTGAGTGTTCCCAGCAACTGATTCTTTTATTTATTATTGCTCGGTTTGTTGCTATCATGCAGCCAGTCGTATCGACCTAGTTATATGAAATAGTTGTTAACACACTTAGAGATAGCCAACACACATTCACACAATCGTTGTTTGAAGAAATGTTTTCTGGATTTATTTCAGCTCCGAGTTACAACCATTCTGAATTATCAGAGAAGATTGGGTTCAACAACACAGCATTTTATTATCGCACCATTTTGGGCTCTTCGTCAGATTCACAGCACATTCCCACTGAGCAAATTGCATTTAAAATAATCCAAAGGCATTACAGCTCCTGCCCACGCAAGGCTAACTGGTAAAGCTGGCTACTGCTGTCAGGTGGTGGGTGGTTCGATATCCTGAAGGCAGATGACTTATTTTCTTCTGAGGTCCATAGTAGTTGCTGCCCTCCACCAGCTCATCCAAGTGCGACCTTTGACAATGTCCAGCCTTTCTGCCTCCATCCTCTGGAAATTCATCCCGGAACCTGTCCACCTCGCCCCCTCCCTTGCCTCCTTCAAGGCCTGTCTCAAGACCTTCCTTTTCGACAGTGCCTTCGATCATCTTCCCTCCTCCACCCCTCTTTCCCTCCCTGATCCTAACCAATAACTTAGATGCAAATCCCTCATTGTCCAACACCTTGTGATATCTCCCAATGTGAGGGGCGCTATATACAATTTGCTGTTGTTGTTGTAGATTAACCACTAACACTTACCTGGCTGCAATGGACTAAAATCAGGCCAGAGCAGTGACCAGCCCTGGTCCTGTGTGCTCAGTTACTCACTGAGTATTCAAGCACCATTGAGCAATCAAAGCACCATGCGATTTTCTTCTCAACAATAATAATAATCCTTGCATTTGATATAGCGCCTTATCACGTCTTCTAGACGTCTCAAAGAGCTTCACAGAACATACTGCAAAATTAATTGACTGTGTATTTTATGGCCAAATGCGGCAGCCAATTCGCACAGCAACGTCCCACAAACAGTCATGGATTGAAGTGATAAATTTATTATTACCATTATTTTTTTTTAAGGAATTATTACCCCCGGAAAAGCGATTCGCCAATCGACTAACAACCGGGTTCCTACTTATGCTAGGTAAACAGAGACGTATGGAGTAAGCAAACTTGCCCAACATTTCACCCTTCCTTCATGGAATTGAACCCAGGGTCTCTTGCTTGTGAGGCAAGTGCTCTAAACCACTGAGCTACTCCAACAAATGCTTTGTTTGGCAGTGAGGACACAAGCCCACCGCGTTCCAGTTCTTCAGACCGAAGTAAAGCGTTCACACCATCAGAGAACTTTCAGCTATCGTAGGTACTGTCCGGTGCTGAAAGTGTGTCACTGTATTTGCGCTGTACGTCAGCATAGGGTTCGACTGACAGAAAACCACAGGAAGTTAGCAGATTACCAAATGATAGTGACAATCCTTGCATTTGAAATAGTGCCTTATCACGTCGTTGAGACAGCAACAACAACTTGCACTCATATAGCGCCCTCCACACAGGGTAGCGTCTCAAGAGCCCTTAAAGTGTCTCAGAAACGTCTCAAAGCGCTTCACAGGATATATTGTAAAGTAAATTAACTGTGTATTTTGTGGCAAAACGCAGAAGCCAATAGTGCACTGCACTGTCCCACAAACAGTCCTGGATTGAGTGACCAAATTTTGTTTCTTTGGAGGGATTGTCACTCCCAGAGAGCGATCCGCCAATCAACTAACGACCGGGTTCCTACTTACTGCTGAGGCATAGGGAGTAAGGAAACTTGCCTCAGGTTTCGCCCTGTCCAGGAATCTAACCCAGGTCCTCATGCTTGCGAGGCGAGTGCTCTAACCACTGTGAGCTACAGGACTCCACTCATAGTATATATAGGAGTATAGGACTGATAAGAAACCCCTGTGGTTTGCCTCATGGCAATTTAGCAGATTACCAAAGCAACCAGCCCTCAGCAAAGCTGACTGGACTGGAGGGTGAATCCTTTGTCTGCTGTAAAGATCACCAAGGAGGCCCATTGTCAGCGAGCGGGGCGCTTGCCAATGCTTCTGCCTTTCATTGGGACGTGACACATGCTGTAAGGATACGTGGTGGAAAATAATAATTAGTGCAATGAGGAATCGTTTGGTTACCTCCCCCCATGCCCCCGGCTCGGCATTGGGCTCCACCATTGTTAAGCGCTCTGGGACGCCGCCCGGTGTGGAGGGCACTACATAAATGCAAATTATTGTTGTTGTTTTATAGTTATTGATGAAAGTGGCCCAGAATACCCATACTGCGGTGTAGTGTATACCAAGGCATGTCCCCAGCTGTTCCATTAGTTTGCAGATGGATTCCTTGCAACAACAACAACAAATTACATATGTAGAACACCTTTTACACAAGGAGGACATTCCAAGGCGCTGGACAGTCGAGGGAATGAGGCAACTGGTTTAATATTAGTAGATGTACAGTCAGTACCGTAGGGGTATGAGAGCCGTTACTGAACCTGACAGTGCAAGGCAGCTGGATTAAGATCAATAGAGGTGCAGTATGTAACACAGGGCACTTGTGGTCATGACATATCATTTGTGTGCTTCTCAATCATGAAACTCACACTGTCCATCAGTAATTTTTTGGAGCCAGTTTCCCCGCACTGATCACTAATCAACGCATAGGACTTCAGAAGCAACAAGATACAGAAATAACATGAATGTCAGGGCGAGGCCTTGTGTGTACATTGATGACCCAAGTAGCCATCTTTCATGTAGACGTCTCAACAATGGAGATCCACAGTACACCACCAACAAATTCCATTTATATAGGGCGTGTCAATTCCAGAACGTCCCAAGGCGTTGGACAATGAGGGGTTTGCACCTGAGCTGCAGGTTGGACTCAGAGAGGGGTGGAGGGCAGGGAGGATGAAGGACGGAAGATGACCGAAGGCATGGTCGAAAAGGAGAGTCTTGAGACAGGCCTTGAAGGAGGCTCCGGGATGGAATTGACAGCTAAAAAAAAACTTTTCTTCAAAACTTTATAATGGGAATCCTATTATTTAACAGAAAAGATCATTATTTCTGGTGATCAGCCTACACTAGATCCCAGTCACAATAAGCAGGCTATTCACTGCAGCACAGATCATAGCTGTCCACAGGTGATGTACGGATGGGTGATCATAAACAGGAACACTGCCTGATTCCCTCTGTAGCTCCGTGACACTCAGGTCTCCATAGTACCTCGACAGCTCCTCCTGTTGAGACCAACAACAACAACTTGCATTTATATAGCACCCATCGCGCAGAGTAGCATCTCGGAGCACTTTACAGTAGTGGAGCTTGACGCCGAGCCAGGGAGGGAAGAGATGATTGTAAGCATGGTCGAAGTGGAAGATCTTAAACTGTGATCTGAAAATGGGGAAGGAAGGGGCAAGGCAGAGGGAGTGAGGGAGAGAGTTCCAGAGGTTTACATCAGAATACATTAGAATATACAGCAGAGAAATAGGCCATTCGGCCCAACTAGTCTATGCCAGTGTTCATGCTCCACATGAGCCTTCTCCTGCCCTTCCTCAACTAAGCTTTCAAGCATAACCTTCTAAGCATAACCTTTTGTGGCGTAGTGGCTGAAAGCACGGCCGCCGATGGTGGAGTGGAGGGGACGAGCAGGAGGCCAGAGTCAGCTGAGTGGAGGCAGCAGGTGGTGGAGTGGGGAATAAACAGGTCGGAGAGGTAGGGAGGTACCAGGCCTTGAAAGAGAAGTTTTTAACGATTCTCACTCACCACAGTGAAACTTTATACAAACTGCCAGTCAAGAATACATTTAAACAGCAAGCAATAGCCTGGTGACTTCAAGCACACTTCAGTGGAGAGAAGCTGAGACCACATGTTTTAACTGTGGAGTCCTATAGTGTAGTGGTTAGCACTCGTAGGTGAGAGAACCTGGGTTTGTTTCCCAGATGGGGCGAAACGTTAAGCAAGTTTCCTTACTTCATACGCCTCTGTTTCCTAGCAGTAAGTAGGAACTTGGTTGTTAGTCGATGGCGGATTGCTTTCTGGGGGTAATAATCCCTTCCAAAAAAATAACAATTATTTGATCACTCATTCCATGACTGTTTGTGGGACGCTGCTGTGCGCAATTGGCTGCCACGTTTCACCCACAAAATATACAGTCAATTCACTTTACAGTATATTCTGTCAAGCGCTTTGAGACGTCTCAATGACGTGATAAGGCGCCATTTCAAATAATAATAATAATCCTTGCATTTGATAATCCTTGCATTTGTATTTTTTGATATGCAAGTATTGCAAGGATTATTATTATTATTAATCTGAGCAAATTTACAGGGAATGTGTACAGTATAAAGTGTTTTTTGTCCTTTTATTGGTCCAGGTTATTGGTAATGTTTGTTATTTGAGACAGAAACAAAGAATTCTCTCTCTGACCGCGTGGCCAGTTCACTAACAACACTGAAGAGCCAAGCGCAAGCCATTTGCCCCAAATCTGCCATTCCATTGTGCTATGTACAACTCAAGACAACATAGAATCATAGGATCTTACATCACAGAAGGAGGCCATTCGACTCATCGCGCCTGTGCCGGCCCTTTGAAAGAGCTATCCAGTCAGTCCCATTCCAACCCCCCGCTCTTTCCCCATTGCCGTGCAATGTTTTTTCTTTTCAAGTAAGTATCGAATTCCCTTTGGAAAGTTATTATCGAATCTGCTTCCACCACCCTTGCAGGCAGTGCATTCCGGATCGGAACAACTCGCAGCGTCAGAAAAAGGAAAAAAAAAAAAAAATTCTCCTCATCTGTCTCCCCTCTGGTTCTTTTGCCAATTATCTTAAATTTGTGTCCTCTGGTTTCCAACCCATAGGAATATAGGAACAGCAGTGAGCCATTCAGCCCCTCGAGCCTGTTTCGCCATTCTATTACAATTAGACCATGACTCATCTGTACCTGAACTCCAATTACCCACAAGTGCCCCACATCCCTTGATACCCTGACCTAACAAAAATCTATCCACCTTAGTCTTGAAAACTTGAATGGGTTGAATGGACCCATCCATCACTGTGGTACAACTGCACTGTGCATTCCGCTCAACAATCTGCATTGCAAACATTTAAAAAGGCATTCTCTCGAGTCAGTTCTCAAAGGTAACAACAGAGGCCACGATCCGCTACTTTTTGTCCAGCTGGGCTTGAAGTTCGGCCTCCAGCACCATCTTATCGAAAGTCCTGTTGTTGATCTCCTCTCGCACTCGATCTCGGATGTGGAAGGAAGCTCGGGCCAGGGAGCGGGAGTTCTCCAGAGCCACCTGCCTCTCTCGGAATATCCGCTCGCTCTTCTCCGCCTTCTTGGCGATGGATTGCTGGATCTCCTTACGCTTGCTCTCTTGGCCCTGCTCCAACTTCAGCTTGTTCTGCCGATGCAGCTTCTCCTTCTCTGTCCTGCTCTGGACGGCTTGGCGTGACTTCTGGTGGATCCTGTCTTGGGCCACCTGCGCAGCATGTTTGAGCTTTTTGTCGGCTGCCTTGGCCAATGTCTCCAAGTGCTCCCTGTGTTCCTTCTCCCTCTGCTCTGCCACTCCCCTTGCTCTCTGCAGCTGCTGTTCCTCTCTCGCGGCCCTCTCCCTCAGCTCCCGGTTCCTCCTCTCCATCAGCTGCTCGTAGTTTTCCTGACATCTGCTGAGTTTCTGCTCCAGACAATCCTTGATCAACTTCTTCTCCATCTGCTCCTCTTTGGTCACCTCCTTGATCATGGCTTCATGCTTGAGTTTCTCCACCTTATTGGCCTCTCGCTTCTCCCTCTGTTGGCTCCGTTCCCTCTCCATTTTCTTATGATCAGCCACGATCAGCTTCTGGTGCCAGAGCTTGTCTTTGGACTCTACGAGCATCTTGATCTCCTCCTCCTTAGACCTGAGCTGCTGTTCCTGATGCTTTTTCTTCTCCCTGGTCTCCAGCTTGGCCTTTTCTAGCTTCTCTCTCCTCAGCCTCTCCTGTCCGCCTGCCAAGTGTCTCCACTTCTCCTCCTGGACCTGGACCTGGTGCTGCTTGAAGGCCACCACCTCCATTAGGTCCTGGCTCAGTCTGTGCCGCCTGTCCTCCAGTTTAGCGTCCCACAGTTTGTGGCAGTGCAGCAGAGCTTGCTGCCTCTCTCGCTCTTCTCGCTCCCTCCTGGAGACCTCTCTCTGCTTGTGGCTGTCCCAATGGAGATGAGCCTGGTAGCTCTGGTCGCTCATGATGGTCTCCCCCTGATGTTTGGCCAGCATGAGGGCAGCGATCTTCCTGTCCCTCTCCGTCACCTCTGCGTGACTTCTCAGCTTCACCTCGTTGACTATCCTGGCCACTTTTTGGATGGTCTGTGGGGAGTGACTCAGGTCGCCCAGACTGAAACTCTTGCTCATCACCAAATGGGCTCCAGCGGCTGCGGCCACCATCTTACCCCTGGGGCTGGACTTCAGCCAACGGGCCTTGTGGTCCCTCCAGGTATCTCCACTGAAGGACGAAGAGGCACCCGAGTCCGAGGAGGCCATGATGGTGGTGTTGGTGTTGCTGGTGGTGGTGGGATGGACCTCCTTCTTCTTCTTCAAGGACTCCAATGAGTGGCTTTTGCACCTGCTCAACTCCACCTCCCCGGCCGGCTTCTTGGCCCCAGGAGCCGGGGAGCAAGGTAGACTGTTTCTGACCAGGTGACACGCCTTCCTCCCCCTTCTCTCGTCCCTGATGATCTTCTCCCTCTCCTCTCTGCATTGCCTGAGTTTCCCGCGCCTCTCCTTCTCGTACATCTCGTACAAGCCGGCCGCCACATACATGGACCTGGCCGGGGCCTCCTTGGCAAACTCATTGACCGACCTATGCAGGAGCTCCACTGGCCGGACCCTGCACCGAGCGCACGCCTCCAGCGAGCGAGGGCTGGTCAACACATAGCGACTGCCTTCCGCTTCTGCAGTGTCGAAGTTCTCCAGGTCCAAGTGGAATAAAGGAGATTCATCCCTGGCATTGCTGATCCCTGTCTCCAAGTCCTTCTGGCTCGATGCCTCTTTGCCTCCAACTGCTCCATCCACCACTGCAGAAGGCTTGGCACCCTCTCCGTTCTCAGCGTTGTCCACCATCCTCTGCCCTGCTTGCAGGACTCTGTTTAAATGTAGAGAGAGAGAGAGTGAGATCAGACACCGGGGTTTAACTGGATTTGGAGTCCCATAGCATATTGGTTAGCGCGCTGGACTCGCAAGCGAGAGGACCCCAATTCGATTCCTGGGCAGGGCGAAACATTAGGCCAGTTTCCTTAATCCACACGCCTCTGTTTACCTGGCCGATCGTAACAATCCCTCCCCTCCTCCCACCCCCAAACAAAATTTGGTCACTCAATCCATGACTGTTTGTAGGAGACTGCTGTGCACAATTGGCTGCCGCATTTCATTCACAAAATATAGAGCGGGTTCACTTTAAGGCATAGCCTGTGAAGCACTTTGAGGCGTCTCAACGATGTGATAAGGCGCTCTATCAAATACGAGTAGTATTATTAGTAGGGGTGGTAGTAGCAAGTGTTAATGGTGGGAGGCCAGGAGCTCTCCTGGGTACAGAGCACAGAAGCTAATGGTCTCCCACTTAAAAGAAAAAACCATCATTGCATACACAGCAAGCGAGTCTGGCTGACGTTACATAACGCTGTCCCCAGCATTAACACATTTAAACACACAACGGACAGCTCAAGGTTTTAAAAGACAACACGGCCCACTTGGAAAACACACAAACTCACACAGCTAGTCCGGTGAAATTGCATTCGAATTAAACGAGTCAGGAGCCTGAGATGGGTAGCTCGGATACACTTACTGCATGGATCAGGATCAGCCCTGCAGAGACTGTGGACAGACACCCTCCAATCGTGCACATTACACAGCATCCACTGACAATGGGGGAGGCGAGGAAAAAAGCAAATGCATAGCTCTCCAAGCCTGAATATATTAGTATTGGTGTTTTAACGCCAGCTCAACGTAGCAACAGCCTGTCACCAGAAGCCATCAGCCATGTTTCCAGGTCACAGAGGGAGAGAGAGACAGACAGACAAGACAGACAGACAGCGACACAGCACTGACACTGAGCAACACACCAGCCCTTTTGCTTTTGCACAAAGATGCTTTTTGCACAAAGATGCTCTCTCCCGCTCTCTTCCCTCTCCAGGATGGATGCAAGCTTGCCTCGGTACCCAAGCCTGCAATCTGACTGCTCTCTGCTGCTCTTACTTACTTATCTCCCACACCCACCCACCACCACCTATTTGGTACAACAACAACAACAAAAATCTTCTGTTACATTTTTTTTTGCGGGCACGTTCACACGCCCGCACTCCCAAGCAAGCGAGCAAGCTACCTACCTACCTGGGAGCAGACGCCAACATCGCCTCCTCTCCTCGCCCTGATGCAGGGAGAATATATGTGAAGCTGGGCTGCACCTGTCACATACAAGGAGGCTCCCACAACTGGCCTCTCCCTTCTCCCAGCTAACAGCACTCCTGTGTGCTGCTGAAATCCCATCTGGATGAATTCACAGGGGCTTTGTTCCCTTCTGCTCTCTCTTCAATGTCTCATTGTCCTCATCTCCTCTCCTGCTCTCTTCCCCCCTCCCCCCCCACCCCCAACATTGTAAAGGGCTGAATGCTAAATGAGCTCCTGCTCTTGAACGGTGTTGGGTTTCCTGACCCAGCACCAGCCTCTCTGGCTCCTCGTCCCAGTGGCCTGTCTTCATCTGGGGAGAGCGAGTGCCCTCGGGGGTCTGTGGGAGGGAGGGAGGGAGGGAGGGGGGAAGAGACAGCACAGCTGAGCTCCATCCCAGTCCCTCATTTGCCATCCACATAAGAAGTCCACAACTACAGTGCGCACTTGTCCAGAGCCTTTCACAAAGGAGAACGTCTCATAGCGCTTCACAGAGATGGTGCGAAGGTGGGGGGGGGGGCAAGTCACAGCTAAAGTCCATCTCCTGCCCTAAGGCTTCTTTTCAGCAGAAGTAACTAGTTAACACCATAGTAACTTGTCCGCTCTCTCCGCTTGGTGGGCAGTGGCCTGCTTCATGTCGCCCCCCCCCAACCCCGCTTTCCTCTTTGACTGTGCCTTTGACTACATTCTCACCGCCACCCTCCCTGCCCTCCACTGCCTGATTCCAATCCCCAGCTCGGGTGCAAAACCTCAACTGTCCAGCGCCTTGGAACATCCTTCCGACGTGAAAGGCACTGTATAAATGTAATCTGTTGTTGTAAGCTCAAGATTATCACCAGATGCACTTTATATACAAATTATTTTATCACAATGTGGAACAGGTCAAATGCACCATTGAGAAAATTATAGATTCAGATATTAAAGGTTACTGGCAAAGGGCAGACAGATAATAATCCTTGCATTTGATATAGCACCTTATCACATGAGGATGTCTCAAAGTACTTGGCAGGATATTCTGTAAAATGGATTGACTGTTTTGTGGACAAAACGTGGCAGTCAGTTGCGCACAGTATTGTCACACAAACAGCCATGAAGTGAGTGACCAATTTTATTTGGGGGATTTGTTAGCCAGGACACCGGGAGAAATTCCAGAATGATTCCAAGTCCTAACATTGGGCTTCAACCCACAATTCTGACTCAGAGGCGAGAGTGTTACCACTTTACAGTATATCCTGCAAAGCGCTGTGAGACGTCTCAACGACGTGATAAGGCACTGTATCAAATGCAAGTATTATTATTATCTGACTTAGTGTCTTTGGTGCCTGAGGCAAGATGGTGACCAGCAGTGATCGAACCATCCACCAAGGCTCACCAGCCAGTCCGAACGGCACGTGAATAATAATAATAATCCTCGCATTTGATATAGCGCCTTATCATGGCTTCGAGACGTCTCAAAGCGCTTCACAGTATATACTGTAAAGTGAATCGACTGTAGGCGAAATGTGAAGAGAGCAAGTTGGACCCTGCGGACAGCACCTCAATGTCATTCACGGTTCACGGAGAGGTAGGGATTTCTAGTTAAATGGAAAGAATAAAAGACTGCCATTCCGAGCATTTGAGCGTTGATTAGATCTGCATAAGTGGATTGACTCATCTTGTCTCCAGGCTTGGTGTTACATGTTGCTACGCTTGTGGGTGGAAACATCTCCACAAGGTGTATCCACCCACAAAGAACCCAGTGACCACCCTGCTCAGTCAATGATGTGCACTCAGTCTAATAAAAGCAACAAAGCAGTAACTTCACTGTTTTTTTTCATAATTAGCTGCAAAAATGCAAACGGCTTTGAAATAAAGTTTTATACAGTAGTTCTGATTCAAACGTGTCGGGCACTGCACGGTGACACAATTACTGTTCCACTCGAGGAGGTGTGAATTCACACCTGCAGCACTGTTCACAAGCTGTAAACACATCGTTGCACTTCATTGGATTCCACCAGTGCTGGTTTCACTGAGTGTGAACCACCCACATAAAGGTTAATTGGCTCTGCTCAAACTTGATGGTTAAGTTGTGAGGAGTCGTCCGCCCAGTGCTGAGACTGGAAGGGTTGCAATCTTTTCTAACAACAAACTCGTCACTCCTTCTTCCCGCAGTGAAGTGCCTTCACAGCTTGTGCTCTTTGACTAAGTACGTGAAGCTTGGTAACTTTATGCCTCCATGACAACAACAAATTACATTTATATAACACCTTTCACAGCGGGAGAACGTCCTAAGGGCTGCACAGTCAAGAGTTTGCACCCGAGCTGGGACTAGGATCAGGCGGGATGGAGGGCAGAGGGGTAGGAGGATGGCCGAAGGCATAGTCAAAGAGGAAGGTTTTGAAATGGGCCTTGAAGGAGGCAACGGAGGGGGTGAGGCAGAGGGGCTCCGGAATGGTCTTCCAGGGATTGGGGGGGGGAGAACAGGTCAAGGCCCCACTGCCGATGGTGGAGCTGGCAGGGGGCGATATGTGGAACAGGCCAGAGCCCGCTGAGGGGAGGCAGTGGACAGTTGGCTGACATCCAGCAATGCGCTTTACAGTTGTACAGTAATACTCTGTATCTAATCCATACTGCAGTGCTGGAGAATGCTGAATGGGATAGAGCAGAGGGAGCTTTGCCAATAGTCAGCCTTTACAATAAATCAGCCTGGTGTCAGTCTGGCTCAGTTGAACTCGAGCAAGATGTGTACGTTCTAGCCCACGTTGCGACTTTGTACTCATAGTCTAGGCCAGTGTCGGGCAACCTTTATGGTGAGCCAAAAAAATAAATGTTGGTAGATTCTCTCGTGCAGTGCTGGGGGGGGGGGGCTGTTGCATTCTCAGAGGAGGGGCCCTTTAAGTGAAACCTTTAACTCAGGTCATCACTCCCTGTTCAGGTAGACGTTAAAGATCCCATGGCACCGTTCAAAAAGGGGAAGTGTCTCTCACCCGGTGTCCTGGCCAACAAATCCCTTTGAATAAAACTGGTCACTCGCTGTACGTCTGTTTGTGGGACATCGCTGTGCGCAAACTGGCTGCCACGTTTGCCCCGCAAAATACGGTCATTGCACCTCACAGCAAAAGCTGCGAACCGCTTTGAGACGCCCTCCCGGGGGGAAAAAAAAATAGGCGCTATATCGGACGAAAAGATGGTTATTATTATTATCTGCGTTCATGACCTGGGGGCGCTGCGAGGACAGTGCAGAGGGAGCTTTGCTCTGTGTCTAACCCGTGCTGGAGCCGACCTGGACTCGGGTCCTGATATCCCATCCTTGAATAACAATTAAATTTGTTGACAAATAGATTGTCTGTCTGATAAAGGAGTGATCTTGTGACGGAGTGGAACGGCAATCTAAACACGACGGTTCGGCGTTTGAGTTAATGGTCTTCTGGAGAAGCTCAAGTGACCAGATTTGGAAATCTACCACAATAATAAGCACTATCCCAAGGACTTGCTCACAGTCTGGCCAAGAGGGTCCAGATGGTAGTGTTGGGTGTTTGCAGGGCTAGGGCGCTCCCTGTGGCTTGGATGTCTGGCCCTCGGCACCAATTGGAAAGTGTCTGGTGTTGGAGGCAATCCCTGGAGGTGAGAGTTCAGTGCTGATTGTGGAACCAGAACTGCAACGCTCAGCTCCTGTTAACCCTGCAAGCCGAAGCTCTAACAGGTAGGGTGGTCCTCGCCGGGCAAGCAGTGGGAAAGCTTGCTATCAGCTGCGCGGTTTTAGCTGGTTAAACTCCAGCAGTTAACCCCAATGCACACTCTGGGGTCCCCGAGCTTTGATTCTTGCCAACCTGCGCTTAATACTTTCCAGAATTAAGTAAGCGAGATGCGTCCCTCCAGGAATTTCCTATCTCTGGAATTTCCGCGTGTAGGCGGATGCATGGGATTCTCAGTTTGGTTTGGATACTCTTAATCATGGTGAATCATGTGTCTGGACTTGATGTCTGACAGACAATCTGTTAGGACAGTAGTAGTTCTGGAGTCAAGGATGGAGGCAGCAAGATAGAGTGGGATTTAACCATTACTTAAAATGGGTTAATCAGTGGAGCAGGATCAGGCTGGACTGTGATAAGGTCAAACACCCAATGCTGAGGCTCACACATGAACAGTTGTCACTGAGTGAGGGACCAGAGGGAGTATAGACAGACAAGCGAGAGCTTCTGAAGAGTTGGAGGGAAGAAAACGCCGACAACAACTCGCAATTATATAGCACCCTTCATTCAGGGCAGCGTCTCGGAGCGCTTGGCAGTGGCGGAGCCTGATGCCAAGCCGGGAGGAGGAGGGAGGTGACGGTAAGCACGTAAGCAGAGGAAGGTCTTCACCGTGATCTGAAAGAGGGGAAGGAGGGGGAAAGGCGGAGGGATTGAGGGAGACAGTTGCAGAGTTTCGGGGTGTGGTGGCTGAAAGCATGACCACCGGTAGTGGAGTGGGGGGTAAGCAGGTCGGAGAAGTAGGCAGGTGCCAGGGCATGAAGGGATTTGTAGATGAGCATGAGGATCGTCAAGTCTATCCATTCTGTGACAGGGAGCCAGTGAAGCCTGGCGAGGACTGGTGTGATGGGGGTACGGAGTTTAGAGCGGGCGAGTAGACGGGCTGCGGAGTTCTGGATTAGTTGGATGCAGTGAGGAGCTGAGGCTGATGCCAGAGACGAATCTCGCAGTGCTGAGTGAAGGGGACGCAACAGATGTGTGCTGCTGTGAGTTAGACATATGGAGAGTAGATTGCTGTTCAGACCGCTGACCCCCAATGGATTGGGTTCAGAGACCCCGCCCAGGCTATTCTGTACTGAGGAGCAATAGGAAGGTCAGGAAATGCTGCAAAGACTTCATTGTAAGGAGCACACGCTTAACACACACCAAGCTCCCTGCAACACCCACTGGCTTCGGCTCACAGTCTTATAGCGCTGGGTTTCCAACTGGGCTCTGAGGCTGCTCCATGTTTACGCTCCGACCTGTTTGCCTTTCTAATAATAATAATAATAATCCTTGCATTTGATATACTGTAGTTTCATCGCATCAAAACATCTGAAAGGCCATTGCTGCTAAGTGTAGTGTCTGCAATGCTGTACACTGTCCAGCGACTTGGGACGTCCTCCTGACGTGAAAGGCGCTGTACAGATGTAATCTTGTTGTTGTTGTTGTTGTCTGCCTGTTCAGGTGGATGTTAAAGATCCTATGCTATTATTCGAAAAGAGAACTTTTCTCTCTCTCTCTCTCTGTGTCCTGTCCCCCAAATTGGTCCCTCACTCCATGGCTGTGTGTGGGACATTGCTGTGTGCAACCGTGTTCCCTAACAACTATACAGTCACTCCACTTTAGAGTAAAATCATGTGAAGCACTTTGAGGCATCTTCCTGTCAGGAAAGGTGCTACACCAAATGCAAGATTATTATTATTATTATTATTATTATTACCAGACGGGCACTCCTGAGTTTCCTTTGGTTGTTTAAGGACCATTCGGCTATTGGATTGGGCGTTTTATGATCATGATAACAACAACAACAATAATCTTTGCATTCGATGTAGCGCCTTATCGCATCATTCGAGACGTCGCAAAGCGCTTCGCAGAATCGTCCGAGGATTGAAATGACCAAATTATTATTTCTAACCTGAAACCCGGTGGTGGGGGGGTGGGGGGGGGGGGGGGGAATTCAAATACTCTCAAGCTGGGTGATGGGTTACCCCATGTGTCAAGACACCCCCAAAGCTGGACCACAAGTAAAATGCACCACACAGTCACTCGACTCTTAGCAGTGAAGTCCTGTGAAGCACTTGGGACGCGTTAAGGCGCTGTAAAGGGAAGGAATCATTCTGTCTCATTCCTCTGTCAAATCCCAAGTCTATGAGCAGTAAAGTGGAGAGAACTTAAACCCAGAGACTCTGTTCCTTTAAAGTCCCTCTCCCTCTCCCCCTCTCCCCCCTCCAGAGAGAGAGAGAGAGAGAGAAGCCATGAAGAGGTTTGACCTCCAGTCCCCATTGGTACTGGTGGTGACGCTGCAGTTGCTGTGAGAGGGAGTGGATGGAGGAGGAAGTGAGCGCAGAGAGAGAGAGAGAGAAATAAAGAGAGGAATTATTGCAGAGAAAGAGAGAGAGAGAGTCAGAGTGCGATCCCGGCCCTGCAGCAGCGACAGGCAGCCAGGGACAGGCAGGCAGGGACAGGCAGCCAGGGACAGGCAGCCAGGGGACAGGCAGGCAGGGGACAGGCAGCCAGGGGACAGGCAGGCAGGCAGGCAGGGACAGGCAGCCAGGGACAGGCAGCCAGGGGACAGGCAGGCAGGGACAGGCAGGTAGCCAGGGACAGGCAGGTAGCCGGGGACAGGCAGCCAGGGGACAGGCAGGCAGGGGACAGGCAGCCAGGGGACAGGCAGGCAGGGACAGGCAGGTAGCCAGGGACACGCAGCCGGGGACAGGCAGCCAGGGGACAGGCAGGCAGGGGACAGGCAGCCGGGGACAGGCAGGCAGGGACAGGCAGCCGGGGACAGGCAGGCAGGCAGGGACAGGCAGGCAGGGACAGGCAGCCGGGGACAGGCAGGGACAGGCAGGCAGCCAGGGGACAGGCAGCCAGGGGACAGGCAGGCAGCCAGGGACAGGCAGCCGGGGGCAGGCAGGCAGCCAGGGACAGGCAGCCAGGGGACAGGCAGCCAGGACAGGCAGGCAGCCAGGGGACAGGCAGGCAGCCAGGGACAGACAGGCAGCCGGGGACAGGCAGGCAGCCGGGGACAGGCAGCCAGGGACAGGCAGGCAGCCAGGGACAGGCAGCCAGGACAGGCAGGCAGCCAGGGACAGACAGGCAGCCGGGGACAGGCAGGCAGCCGGGGACAGGCAGCCAGGACAGGCAGGCAGCCAGGGGACAGGCAGCCAGGACAGGCAGGCAGGACAGGCAGCCAGGGGACAGGCAGGCAGCCGGGGACAGGCAGCCAGGACAGGCAGAGACTAACCAGGGACTAGCCAGGCCGGCAGGGAGTAGCGGGACGGGGCCAGGCGGACAGGCAGACAGGCAGACGGGGGCAGACAGGCAGCGGTCGGAACATTACAATTGGATACATTAATTGGATACATTG